ATATATTCCATTACATGGTATAGCTTCAAAGTAAAAGACACCATTTAGATAAGCCAAAATAGAACCATTCTCATTATTAAAAGAAAATCTAAATCCTTGTCTATATAAACCATGAAATGAAATGATGTTTCTAGCCATTTCTGGCGAATAGCAACAATTGTTCAAATCCAAAACTAAACTATTCTTAAGCACTAAAGAATACACTCCAATCTTGGTCACAGGCGACGATCTTCTGTTCCCCATGATTAGATTGATCCTTCCTTGCTCCACATCCCTACTTCTTCTTAGTCCCTGCACATTAGAACAAATGTGATAACCACAACCGGTGTCAAGAACCCAAGAAATAGCATGATTAGAATCGTTAGATTTGATTGCATATATACCTGCGAAAGATGGCTTGATCTTTCCTTCCTTGATGGCTTGCAGGTAATCCGGGCAGCTTCTCTTCCAATGTCCTATCTTGTGGCAGTGGTGGCACTCTGCCTCCTTCGGGTTAGAGCAGGGCTTAGAGGGATCAACTTTGGTCCCACTAGAAGAGGAACCATCTCGGGCTTTCACCTTTCGATAGTTATTTGAAGAAGCTTTCCTCTTCTTTCCCTTCCCTTGACCAATAGCCAAGACAGGAGCAGCGGATGGATTGGGAGTTGGTGCAACAGACTTGTCCTTGAAATTGCTCTCAGCAACCCTCAAGAGACCTTGGAGTTTACTTAGAGTGACCTCCTCTTTGTTCATGTGGTAGGTCATCCTAAATTGATTGTACATCGGAGGCAAAGAGTGAAGCACCATGTCGATCGCCAAGTCTTCGCCGAAGTCAACATTTAACTTGCGAAGGCGGTCGACATACCTTTGCATCTTTTGCAAGTGCACGGTAAGAGATTCTCCATGACCCATCTTGGCGGAAATCATGTTAGTGAAGATCTCGTAACGCTCTTGTCTCGCGTTTTGGTGGTACCTCTCCAACAAGTCTTGATGCATCTCGTATGGATACATGTCCTCGTAGGACTTTTGGAATTCGGAGTTCATGGTGGCGATCATGATGCAATGTACTTTCGTTGCATCTCGCTCATGGTTTCAAAGGCGGTGATTTCGGCGGGAGTAGCAACTTCGGGGTTGATTTTCTCGAGCTTCTCATCGAGGACATACTCTTTATCCTCATAGCGAGCAATGGTGCGAATGTATCTTATCCATTCGCCAAAGTTCGTTCCATCGAAGGTGACCTTTTGGCAAAGGCTCATCAACGTGAAAGAACTAGCAGCAGCGTTGTTTGCGTTTGACATCTATAGAAAGGACAAAGATAGATTAGAACAAGAATCCCTAATTATCACCCAATAAGAAAAATTAGGGCTAGGATCCAACAATAACATTTACATACTAGAAAAGGGATGCCGTAATCCAATATGCAAATAAATTGAAGGTAAGTGAATGACGGTTCACTAATTCTCCATCACAAAACTTAAACTTTTAGTCCTAAGTGTTTTTGAGAATTCCTAGATTCGGATGAGATTCATTGAACTATTCAATGGCATGTTTAAATCTCGATATGCCCCTCTTGTTTGTGACTGGGATGCCGAGGATCACAAAGCGGGTGTGAATTACCATGCAAATTCACATGGTGCCTTCATTGTAACGATCACCTATTCGATGTGCCGGTAAACCACACACGCTCCATCGAACTATGATGAATAATGAATCACCCTTTGCCACCTTCGCTTAGAACCAATTAGTGTGCCGGTAAACCACACATGCTCCACTAACATCTTAGCAAGGTGCAAAGTGTAATTTCATGGGATTGCATCAATTCACTTTTCCTAAAGTAACTAAGATTGGGAAATTTTTAAAAAAAGTTTAGTTACTTCGTATTTCTTATTATACTTTTAATGCGAGGATGAGATTGCCCTATCCTACCCGTTCGGCTAACGACCCTCCACCAATCAAGCAAGCGGTGGGTGTGAGTGTACACCCATTAAGCGCCATTTTATAGGCCGCAACCTTATACCCACCTTATAGATCGGCTTCGTGAATGAGGCCTACTAGCGGTAAGACTAGCATTTAGTTATACATATATATATTATTCTAGTAATATTATATAAGTATAGGGTTGCATTTTAAACTTTTCAAAATCTAGGGTTTGAAATTTAAGTTGTCTAAATTAAAACTTTTAATCACAAATATAAATTTCAAAACTTTAGGGTAGGTTTTAAACATTTAAAACATGAAGGATCAAATAACAAATAATTCCAATTAACAATTAATATTCTAATTATCTTTATTTGATTTATCTTGATTTCTTTGAAGATAATTAACAAAATAATTAATTATTATCATATAAGGAAATTAAATATTTTATTAGATGATAAATATCTTTAATTAGATCAAGATAATAGTCATATTTATCAAAAAATCGGATTTACATTGATCTAATATGATTAAGGTAAGTTTCCATAAGATAATTATGAAAAAATCCCGAATCTGGCCATTCCTGACGCCTGGACTCGCCGAGTGCACAAGGGGACTCGCCGAGTCAGGCCTACTCGACGAGTCCACCTTGGAACTCGACGAGTCAGTGACTCAAAACCCAAAAAATCGAATTTTGCAGGTTTGTTTCAGTTATTCAAGCAACAATTTAAAGAAAACCAATCTAGGCTCTGATACCACTGTTGGGTTTTAGCCATAAGAACTTTCCTATGTGCGCATGCAAAACCCTATTGCTTGGATCTAGGCTTTCTAATAAACATGCTTTTGAATCCAAGACTTCTAATGGCTAATTAGGTTAAACAACAATATTAAAACAGATCTAGAATCATACCTTTGAATCCCTTGTTGATCTTGTTTGTCTTGGAGCTTCTAGAGTCACAATTGTCACTCCTCTAATGGCTTACAAACACCAATAGCAAGCAAGATGATTTAGGAGAGAGGAGAGGGGATGAATTCGGCCAGAGTATCCTTGCTTAAGGTTGTGTGTCGAACTCCCACATCCATAGGGTCTATTTATACTATCAGACTCCTTAAGGGTTTCACTCTAAACCCTAATTGGATAATCTTCTCTTAAGGCTATCCAAATCCATTCCATAGATATCCCTATGGACGATTTTGAGCTATCCTAAAGCTCTTAGAATCCGTCCAAGGTCCATCCTAATGGATTTACAGTCTAAAGTCTAACTATCAAACAATTGACAGTTTATACCCTCTTATTTAATTAATCTCTTTAAGTCACCAATTAATACCAATTAATTTATGACTTATATTAATCAAATAGTCAAATATTATTCCTTATAATATTTACTCTCTCTTAACAAATCATCCTTCAAGTTGCTATGGTGAAGGCAACCCAAAAGGACCATGCACCACCGAATATAGTTATAGCCTTAGACACTATTCCAACAGTAATGAGATATTAGTACTCAAAATTGCGAGAAAAATACGGTAAAAAATGAACAGTTAGAATATATCTAAGTAGAAAATGTAAATTGTAAAATTCTAATGTTTCGAGCTTAATAACTATAACAAAATATGATCCATTGAAATGATACTTGAACTTAATATGAATTAAAGATGAAGAAGAAGATAGAGAAACAAGAATCATTTAAATTGAAGTTCGTACGAAGAAGATACAAACAGGAGAATCTGATAAAAAGTTAAATTTGTTAAGAAAATATCGATAACTAAATCTGAGTTTAAACCAAACCAGGTATGGGATGACAGATTTTAAAAGTTTACATTCATCTATAATAGCTAAAGAATATTTCTGAATGACCGGAAATATTATTGGAATAACCGGGAGTAAAATCGTTATTTTTAGAAAATAATAACGTTAGTTAGTACACAAACTTGGAAGGCTTGGAAGATTGACTTCCCGACATTCAAATTGAGAAAAGCATATATCATTTTATAGAGCTCATGGAATACTAAATAACTCAAGTTAAATCGGGTTAAACGGAAGTCGGATGAAGAAACTACGAGTATTTGAAGTTGACCAGAAAAAAAAGGGAAAACACCAACATGGACCAAGTCGAAACACCCGACACTGTAGTAGAACGTGAGAGCAAGTAACCAGCACTCGAAATAAGGATGATCAAATTTTGTGTTTATTATGGCTAAATAGTCCCAACACGTGGAAGAAATCATTGAGCTCTTTTTTTTTTTTTTTTTTTTTTTTTTTTTTTTTTTTTTTTGAATACGTCATTTACGGATTCTCATTCAAGCAAAAACCACATATGGCGGTTTAACATACTCATACCATTTCTTGGTAATTTTTACATAACTTAATCGAGAAAACTATATATTGATGTTTGAATTCTTAATGCTAACTTTTTTACATGGTTATCATACTTTTGCACGAAACTATTATCATAAGGTAAGTTGGACCGGAAAGAATGGTTTCCATCATACGAAGAAGACATTTGATTTTGTATTTTTCATACGTATGAACAGGCATAATATATTAACCTTGACGACTAGTTTCTGAATAGAAATGTTGATGGTAGTTTTTGTTGATGAAAGTTACCAATATATGGAATGTGTAATATAACATTCAACATTTTTTTGGTGCCTTTGCATTTCAGCATTTTGATTTTGATTTTCAACCGAAGAAATCGTGTACACTTCCAGTTGGATTTCATTTAGTTAGTTGACAAATATCAAGTCCCTACTTGTTATAATTTTATCAAAACAGTTGTTTTGAGAATTTTAAGAAATTTTAAAATATTGTAAATTGTTTTTTAATAAATCTATTAATTATTAAGTAATCATTCTAGATGTTGATGATAAAACTCAAATGATATATATACAAAACACACATTGTATTTATTAATAGTACAACAGATTGACTTTCATATACAAAGTAGATATTATAACATTTAAATTTTAAGATAGATGAAGGAAGAAAAAAGAGACATAGTCTGTACCATACTGTTGACTATCATAGACAACTTATTTATCAACACACAATTATAAAAGCATAAACTAAGATGTGGTTATACAAACATAAAATTTACCAGTATTCATTGACTAGGATTGTGATAAAATGTTATTGATGTTGATGTTGACTCACCATATATAAGTGCTACTTCCTCATAATGCTTCACATGTCCAAAATTAGGTTCATCTGTAGAGGGAACATGTGATAATCTGATTCCTTCTAACTCAGAAGCAACTTCTTTCATTGTTGGCCTATTTCTCCCATTAAAATTCAAGCATTGCATTGCCAAGTTAGCTATGGCCAACAACACAGACCTAGAACCCTCTTTAACAACACTTGCATCAAAAATAGACATCGCCCGGCCTTCTTCCATGGCTAACATGAAGTGTAAAGCTAAACTTCTGTTTTCACCAAATCTAGTTAAAGAAATTGGTTTTTCCCTTGTCAAAAGTTCTAACAAAACAACTCCAAAACTATATACATCACTTTTCTCGGTGAACTGGCTCGACTGGAAATACTCTGGATCCAAGTAACCAAATGTCCCTTTAACTAAGGTAGTCAAGTGTGTTTGATCTATTGACACTAACCTCGAAGTTCCAAAATCCGAAACTTTGGCTCTATACTTTTCATCCAAAAGTATGTTAGTAGTTTTGATGTCCCTATGGTATATTGGAATAGAGGTTGCTGAATGTAAGTACGAAAGTGCCCCTGCAACCTCTGTAGCGATTTGTAATCTCATGTTCAAAGAGAACAAAAACTCACCGGTTTCATCATGAATAAGGTCATATAATGTACCATTTGATATGAACTCCGAGACTAGTAATGGCACCTCGGTCTCTAGGCAACATCCCAGTAGTTTGACGACATTTCTATGACTTACTTGAGAAAGAATGACCACCTCATTGATGAACTGTTCTAGTTGGCTTTCATCAACCACCTTTGATTTTTTTATTGCAACGATTCGCCCATCAGCTAGCATGCCTTTATATACTGTACCTTGACCTCCTCGACCAAGAATTCTGTTCTCATTAAAATTGTCGGTGGCCTTATCTAATTCGTTGGAGGTGAAAAGAATGGTTTTATCAACTAAACTAATATCGGTTGTTTGTTGTTGTCTAAGAAGAATACCACCATTGCGTTTAAAAAACCTTTGTTTCCTTCTCTTCGCTTTAGTTTTCTTGATTATTTTGTACAATGCATAGCCCATCACTATTAGCAACAGCAGCCCTATGCTTATACTAACACCTAGAAAAAAAGGAAAATATATTATAAAAACAAAACATAAGAAAATTAAAATGCAATATTGTACGGTGCATAATTCATCATTATTAGCAATATATTACAATCACTTGAACATATATTTTATTGTAGTATTACTTACCCTCATTTAATAACATTTCTATTTTATCATCTAAATGATATTCTCTATTTATAACATTATTGTTTTTACTAATTAATTTGAAATTGAACTACTTGATAGTCAACGTGGTTTGGAGTAATTTGCATGTTTAGTATCTCATTTTTTTTTTCTTTTTTTAACTCTGACCGTCTTTACATTTTAATTTTGTTTCGTGTTTGGTCCTTCTAAAAGTTAGAAGGCTATTATATCCTTAATAAGTGTTTTTAAATTAATTAATTTATATGTCTATTATATAAAAATTATTTAAATTAGAATGGGCTTATTTAAAACCCCACTCACTTAGCCATCCAATTACCTCACTTTTCCCCGTTGTTTTTAGGTGCATTTCTTTTCAATCCTCTGTATTCTGTAATGAAGAAACTCAACAAAACCATAAATCACCTCCATAAACCACCGGCTGACATCTATTCCGACGAACCATTGTAGTTTACTCTTAATTTAATTTATTTAATATGCAAATTAAAATAATAATAATTCTATTTTTTTTATTTATGTAACTATATAATTCGACTCTCTCTCTCTCTCTCTATATATATATATATATATATATATATATATATATATATATATACACACACACACACACATTGTTAGACTAATGTGAGACGGTCTAATTTTGTGAAACCGTGAGACGCAATCTTAGTCACTAATTTTATAGATAAAAAATATTTTTAAAATGTAAACTAATTGAAAGTTTTAGATTTTTTTAAATATCATTTTCGTCATTTATATTTTCCAAAAAAAAATAATAATAATAATAGAATTACTGGTTTACATGTTGTAGTAGAATATTATAATATTTTACAAATCTGATAAATCTAGTGGAATACTAAAATTTTCTAACATTTTAAAAATCACATTAGAATATTTACGGTGTGATATTTTATTAGAATATTTCACGTATTTAAAAATATGGTATTTTTTTAGGTAAATAAAATGACGAATATAATGATTAAAAAAAGAATCTTAGAATTTTCCTTTTATTTTGCATTTTAAAAGTATTTTTAGATTTTATTTACGGTCTAATAAAATTAACATAGTTTCAAATGAAACTATATATATATATATATATATATATATATATATATATATATATATATATATATATATATATATATATATTGCAAAATAAAAGAAAAAAATCCAAAAACTCTCTTTTTAAGTAATATTCTCGTTATTTAATTTATCCAAAAAATCACAATTTTTTTTTTAAAATATGAGTGAAATATTTTAATAAAATATTACATTATAAATAATCAAATCGAATTTTTAAAAATATTCCATTAAAATTTGTAGATATATTAAAATATTATAATATTTTACTTGAATTGTTAGATTTGTTATAATCTTATAATATTTTGTTAGAATTTTTTGAATATTTATAGTTTAATATTTTAGTATAATATTCTATCATTCTAAAAATTCGATTTGAGTATTTACAGTATAAAATTATATTAGAATTTTTCCGTACATTATGAAAAAAAAGTATTTTTTTTAAATTTTTTTTATTTTTCAGGTAAAATAAATGACGGAAATAATATTTAAAAAATTTAAAATTTTTATTTATTTTGTGTTTTAAAAATATTTTTTTATCTCCAAAATAAATGGTTAGGATTGCGCCTCCATGACTCAAAAAATATGACCGTCCGACATTAACCTAAGCCACCTCTATATATATATATATATATATATATATATATATATATATATATATATATATATATATATATATATATATATATATATATATATATATATATATATATATGTGGGTTAAAGTAATAAAGAGGTGTTCGGTTAAGCTTAGTTATTCTAATTTTTTGCTTATTATTGATTCCAAATCTGTGTAAGTTAAAAATAATTTTTGGTTAAGAATAGCTTATTCATGTGTCATACATACATGTAATAAGTCACAGTCAATAAGTTTAGAAATCCTTAATTTATTAGCTTATATGTTATAAGTTATAAATTGAAAATTATTGATGATTTTTCAAAAACTTTGCTAAACACCTTCATAAGAGGATGGTCAAGAGAATATTTCAAATAAATGGGTAAATGGTTAGTTATAAAAAATGTTATCTACTAAAATAAGTTTTTAATAATAATATTTTTTATTGATTTGATATATTAGGTAATCTATAATATTAGTTAGTTATGGATGTTGTCAAGACATTGGATGATCTTTATATAGTTTAGAATTTTATATTCATGTCATTATGAGGGTTTTGACTATTTTTAATAGAGAAATTGAATATCCTTTTACATTTTATTTCTACATATCATCCTACTTAATTAAATATTGATATGTATAACATTTAATTTTCATTTAATAAAATTTAATGATATTTTATGATAGTAATATTACATATATCATTATTTGAATATATAGAAGGATTTATAGGAACAAAAGATAGAAGAATATTTAATTTCTCTTTTTAATAATATTTTTATCTGTGTAAAGTATTTTCTTTGTTATTGTTTTATATATCCATTCGAATAAATGTAATTAGTAAAAATCATAATATTTAATATTTTAATATAATTATGAGTAAATTATTAAAATCATAATAGAGGTTTGGACAAAATTATGCGTCTAGTCTAGTCTCAAACTTTTATTTTACATTCGGCAATGGTGGATTTAGGGGGCTCACAGGTGGCACCGACAACCTCTGACTTTTCCGACTGCAGTGAAAAAGTTCTCGAAAAATTTTTAAAATTTTTATTTTTCTATTATCGTGCAAACCTTAATTTTTTCGTTTAACTGTCACACATGAAACATCACCTTCGCTGCTGCTACACACCGACTAGCCGCCACCATTTATCCATCCCTTACTTCACCCCCACACTGAGATTATAATTTGTTGGCACAAGAACCACCCCCATTGAATTTTTTCAAAAATACAAAACTGATAAAAACGTATATGATTTCTAATTATAAAAAAACGATTATAAGATTATATAATATTTGTGTAATTAGTATTTTATATTAGACGTTAAAAGGAGCTACATAATTAATTACTCAAAAATCATAAAAATTAAAAAATTAAAAAATAGTTAAACAATAGATGAAATGTTGTAAACTAAACGAGGTTAATTATAAAACATTAAAACAAATGGTTAATGTTTTAAGGAAAAAAAACTAAAAATAGAACAAGATCAAGAATACCTTACCTAGAATAACACCCAGTGATATTTTGTTGTCATAAAGACACGTCACATCCGAGTCCAAGCCATCTTTATAGTAACAGTGCCCCCTTTAAATTCGCAATCTATGCATTTTTTGTCTTCTTTTGTGTTTCCACCTTCGTCCATGTAGCCCCATTCCAGTGATACTGGAACAAAACGCTGGTCCTCCACAGTAGATTGACTGGAAAACCTTCCTTTCATGTATGAATTCTTATCCACCAAGAAGGCAGACCTACTGCAGCTTACATTTCCAGCATGTGATCCTACCAATTCAGTTAGATTCAAGGTAAACGATTTGAGATCATAAGTCATTGTAGTTTCACAACAACCGATGCCAAAACAGTTGTTTCTTTCACTAACACTCTCATTGCCACAACTAGTTGAACAACCACCGCTAATATCTCCATTCTCATTAATGATGACGCCATTGCCACACCCTTCAACAACGAATAAGTTACCGTTTTTGGAAAAGTAAAACGGACTTCTGTTTAGGTCAAGACTACTATTCTGGATTGGATTCTCGCAATCCGAAATCATAGGGACATTAACAGTGAACCTTTCAGATTTTATATCCAACAACTCAAGATTGTTGAGGGCCGATAAATATGGTGTCGAGGAGTTACAATCGATAGTGAACCATTCATTCCCTGAACAGCTTCTTCCAATCCCGAAAGGATATCGAATCGAGACATTCCCACACATATTGTTGCATCCTACTGAAGTATCATTTCCTTTCAAAGAAAGCGACACAGGAACAAAAGAGTGGTCCTGGCCAATAGATTGGGGACCAAAAGTCGGTTGGCGATACTTATACATCAAGAAGGCAGACCCACACAAGGTTCCGTCTCCATCCTGGCTTTCCAAGCTTGTTCGATTCAATGTAAACCACCGGAGATCATGAGCAATTGTAGTTTGGCAACAACCCACGCCGAAGCAGTTGTTCAGGTCACTAACAGTACTATCCTTGCGACAAGTTGTTGAACAACCACCAACAATAGTACCGTTCTCCATGATGATGTCAGCATGGCCACACCCTTGAAACACGAGCATGTTATTGTATCGGGAATAACGGAAAGGACTTCTGCTTAAGTCAAGACTACTGTTGTGGAGCGAGTTCTTGCAATCAGAAATCATGGGGACATTAAGAATGAGGTGTGTGTAATACGCGTTCAACACCTCCACGTTGTTGAGTGCAGGAAGATAAGCCCTCTGTGAGTTACATTCAATGTTGAACCATTCGTTCAGAGAACAATTTATTCCAATCCCGAATGGGAAACGAATAATATTGGCCTGGCCACAGCTACGCTCGCATCTCGTCTGGATGTAATTCTGTGCTTTTGTGAATGTTGTTAACAAAATCAGGATAAGGAAATGCAAAACTTGAAACTGCTGCATTTTATTACCAACCATTCAAGGCGGAAAATGGAAGGAGGGATATTTTAATAATTAAATCTCAGTGAATTTCTGATTCTGTGCTCAACTGTGCTGCCAGGTTCGCTATTTAACGGACAAATTTAATTCATGGTTTACCTTGATTCAACAGGTTGAAACTTTCCCCTTTCTTTTCCACAAATAAAACAAACCGGTTAGAATAAGAACAACATATTTAATATTTTCCTATTGGTTTAATATTAATAGAAAAATTGCAACTCTAACGAATTTCCGATATCCAAATCGTAGCTGAACTATTATTTTACAAACGACTTGTTATCAAGTCTACGCTTGTAATTTCGCAACAACTACTTCCATGGTAAATTTGGTTATTATATTATTTAACTGTGGAGGGAAAGAACAGAGTCTTTTCAGAGCAACTTTTGTAAAAAAAAAAAAAAAAAAAAATCAGTAAAATAAGATTTTTGTTAGAAAGGATTTCTTGTTCGATGCTAAATAATATAATGAAAATTAACAACATAAAATTATTTATACTATGAACGAACGATGAGTGGAAAACCGTCATCCATATCACAGCCGTTCAAAATCTTGAAACTTTTAATCTCAGCCGTTTAAACTCAATATTTACGGTTGTTGTGCAGTTCTAGCAATCGGTTTCCGACGACAAATATGGAAGCAACTTGGGGACAAGAAGGAGGAGGGTCGACAAATACGAAGCCTTCTTTGTCTAATAGCTAGAAGCATCCCGCAAGATCGACTCCACTTCTCTAATCGGTTTCCTAATTGGTTTTATGCAAGAAACCGTTGAATCCACCCCCATGATCTTCCTTCTTCATCGCACTCAACTGTCCCGTCTATATAAAAGTTCGATTTCATTCTAATTGCTTCAACCGTTTCAACATTTGCTTCAATTGCTTCAAGCCTATGATAATCATGTACCACAAATCAACTAAAAACGTTTTGCCCTTTGAAGAAAAGCCATCTAAGGTATGCTTTAATTCATGTTTTTAGTCTGATGTTGTTACTATTAATTCATCTCTTCTCTTCCGCTTCTACGATTTTTGTTGTAAGAATCTTGGTGGTAGGTGGTGGGATTAAGCATTTGCTGATGGTTGGGGCGACATTCTCGCCGACGTCTATGCTTATAAGGTATTCCTTGAATTCTATTACCATCATGACATTTCTTCCGACTTCCTTGATTTCGTTTAGAGAGTAAGAATGCCATGTTACCTGTAAGTTTTATCCTAATTCGTAAATCAATGGCATCACTATGCATCGTTAAGGTTTGCTCAAAGTATCGATGATCGCCAACTGCTTTCAACAAAGAATAAACATATATTTTACTTAAAATGTGTGTGGATATCTCTATATAGGTACTAAATAATCCGTTTTTTAATCTTACTCAATTCAGACTTGAGAATTTAACTCTTTACTATACTGCCCACAAAACCTCAAGACGAAGATCAACACAGTGAAACTAAAACGCAAATGAGCTTACCATCAATAGTCTACTCACAAACATGGTGACATGGGATTAGAATTGGCATGATGTCTTCTTTTGGTGAAACAAATGGTGTTATCAAGTTTGGAGCTAATTGCAACCATTAGTGATGGTATTGCTGAACATACAATCTGGATATATAGATGAATTATAATTGGTTAGATTAAGTTTTGCATCATTTAGTGGGATTAATATAACATTGGCATTAACATTAGTTGCTAATAATATAAGTGTTGGATGCTCACCTTTTCGGTAATGTTAATTTGTTTTGTCCACATCATAACCCTATGTCCTTCCTTTTTTGCTCCTACACCTTAGTTTCTTTGAAGTTTGATCTTTTCTTTTGTGCAGTGATTGTATATCAAGAACCCAAGCGTGTATTTTGTTTGGAAACTAGAGTCTCAAAATGTTTTATTTGTTTCCAATTTGAAGATTTTTTTGGCAAGGTGACTTTGTTGGGGAAGAAACATGGCTGTAGAAGCCTTGTAAGTCTAAAGACCATTGGAGAAAGCACAACCTTCTGATCATGGGTTAGAGTTATTATGGCATTTTCAACATACCAATAACAATTTTGCTATCACCTACTGTTACAGGACCTAGGAAAAAGGTATTATGGCATTGTCAACATACCAGTAGCACATGATAAAGGTTTTGTGTGTGTTACACCTTGTGTCTAACCATATTTGATCTTTCTACCCAGGAAATTTATCATTTTATTGATATTCTCAAGTGCTTCATGACTAGATAGTTTGGTTTGCATATTATGTTACTCGTTTATGCTACTGGAAAGACACGCTTCTCCTATGAACCTTAAGCCTAAGGGCAAATTTTTGTGTAGGCTAACATAGCATATTGAATTCTTGAAAAAACTTTTAGATGCCCTTTTAGTAGTTACTGTAAACAAAATTTTGATACAAATTTTAAATGAACATATTGTATACTGCGAATATGGAAAACTGAGGGAAAATAGCAAAGAACTATACATAACTAGAATGGTATGTGTTATATGACTTATGTGTGTGTGTGTGTGAAAGTATGTTCCTATGTAAAGCATTTTAAACTATAAATAATTAACACTCCTTGCATGATTTTACTATTTTTTTAAATGATTTTTTTTACTTTTGCCTATTTGCATACTTGATTTTGAAAGTATGTTGCTATTTTGAGCATTTAATGAAAGTATGTTGTGTAGGTACCCTACACAAATATAACATTGTACTTATGTAATTCATTATACACACGTACAATTAGGTAGCAAAACATTGACCAAACCTGAGAAAACCATAGGTTGAAACAAATGCATCCGAATATTCGATATTCATGGTTAAAAAAATGATCGTTTTGCCCTCCGGTTCAATTCTCCAAAATGGAAACAATCTTTACACCGGGGGACGAAAGGTATGATGTTAATCATCTATGGTCATTTTAATGCAATTAAATTTCTTTTCATTATATATATATATATATATATATATATATATATATATATATATATATATATATCATATGCTATGAGAATTAATAAAAGAATAAGTTGTTTAGCAATATGAATACGTTCAACCTTTCAAAAATATCAACATTTTCATTCATTTTCGTTAATTATTATTTTCTTTTTGTTCTCACACATCGTTTTTCACTCATTTTCATTCTGACAGAATACGATCCAATAAAACATTCTACAACATTCTGACAGAAATGAAAATAATATTAATAAGTGTACAATAACCTTATAGATGATTTAATGAGTGAGAATGTGTGTTAATGACAATAGTTATATAAGATTGAACGTATTTATATCATCAAACAACATATTTTCTTTATCGTTCTGAAAGCATACGATAGATGTACAATAATTAGTTAGAATACTTGAACCTATATATATATATATATATATATATATATATATATATATATATACACATACATATATATATATATATATATATATATATATATATATATATATATATATATATATATATATATATATATGGAATAAAATTATAGGATTATTAAAAAGTGAAATAAAAAGTGGACGTACATGATTCCAATTTAACCCTAGATAATAGTAATGTACTCTAAGGACATCACCATAAATACCAACCAATTTTGTTTTATTTGTCAGTAAATGTCACCCATGTCAATGAGTTTCCACCAACATCATTTACCTAGCCAAAAACGAGTAGGGGTAGAATGGTCATCAGAGATGACTAATTAACGGATACAGTTTCAGTCGATTTCTTGGTACCGGACTACTGGTGGATAGGTAATTTAAAAAAATTTTATTTTTATTATAAAATTTCTTTATAATTTTTATATAATTTTTCATAATATAATTTTATTATGAAAAAAAAATGTAATACATATGTATGATCTTCTAGGGTGTTCGTTTGGATGGATCGGTTCGATCCGATCCAATTAAGTAAATCCAAATTGATTTTCGTTTCCAAAATATGGATCCGAATAATCCAAACTAAATTCAAATCCGATCTGATCCAATCCAATTATAATTCGGTTGGATCGATTTTTATAATTCGGTTTTCAAAAAGTAAAACATTTTAAAATAACATATAATTATAATATTATCCAATTTTTATAGAAGAAGAAAAAAAATATTTAATTGTGATTTAAAATTTATAAACTACTACGAATGTATATTATAGTTTAATATTTAATAGATAAAGAACTTTTAAGAGAAATACATATTAACGTTTTTTATTAGATGAAACTTTTTGAACTTATTTGAAAAAATAAATTAATAAATTAATAAATAGTTATAGTTATATTTAAAATAAATAAATAATAAATTGTTATTCGTTTTTTTTGGATTATTCGGTTCATATTTTGTAAACCAAAACCAATCCGAAATCCAAAATAGTAATTTAGTTTTGTTAAAAACTAATCCAAAAATCTGAATATTCGAACCAAATAGTCCAATGCAATTTGTCCAATTGGACAATTCGGTTTTATCAAAATAATGAACAGTCCTATGATCTTCAAACGGGTGAATAGGTATCCATCTTTCAATCGGAATCAAATACTACTTTTCTCAAATATTTTTTTGAAAACACTATTTATCCAGATAACACTTAATACAGACAAAGCTAATGATATGCATTTGATGTAGATCCTGTTAGTGGTTTTTCATTCCATCCATTTTTGCCAATGACAGCCACATCATGAGGTCACTCGAGATTTGTAGGTCATGATGAGTATGATGAAGAATTGGGTTTGACTTTACGAGGTATGTATTTTCATATTTGTAATATATAAACTTAGTGCAACAAATAGTCACATATTTTTCTATTCTCTTAGTCCAAATTCCATAACATCCACCTTTTTTTATATATATATTTTTTGTATGCTATGGTTAAGATTGAATTGACAAATATTCTTTAAAATTAAAGTTATATTCTTAATATAAAATTATACCCGTCTGGTAAACGACTTAACCGATGTAAAAATAACCTTTGTTTTGAAAAAAATACCATTTTCCATGCATAATGCATATGATCTC